GGGACACGGGCCCCATGAGGGTACGTTAGGCTGGCCCAAGGCTCACGCAAATGGCAGCAGCTCCGTGAGCTCTGCCCAGCTGGAACCCCTGCCATCCACCATCTCCCATCTCGGCAGTTAAGGAACTTTTGGGGTAAGCTGATGGCAGCAGCCATTGTGGGGTTCCTGGAAGGTCGTACCTGATTAGTCTCCGCTGGCAATGCCTTGTAGGAAGAAGCCCGAGTAGCCCATTTTGCATGTCCACCCCGTTTCGCTGGGCTGCGACGAGGGGTTGTGTCTTACCCGCTTCGCAGAGGAGGCCTTTGGGGATGGAGCCGTGGGATGTCTTTCATATGTTGTTTGGTCCTAGGTAGCCCGCGTGCTCCAGGGACGAGTTGGTGGGTGGTTTTCCCCTGGTGTTTCCATGCCCAGGGAGCCGTGGGAAAGGAGAGTCCTGTGAAACTCCCCTGGAGTGAAGCGTGGCGCCGGGCCCTGCCTTGCTGCGTGAAGAAACACAGGGGTGCTCAGTTCCGAAGGTGAGGGGGCTGTGGAGTTTGCAGGGGGTTTTCTTGCTCTTCTCTCCTGAGCCCTAGCCTGCAGTTTATGGGGCTCCTGCAGGAGAATTTATAAAGTCATTAAAAACCACTTTAATGGAAAATGCTAACCATCTATAATACAGCATCTGTTGTCGTGTCGTTGGAAAAACACGTCTAAATTAAGAGAGGCAGAGACAGCGAGCCAGACTGGTGGGTTTTCCGCTGAAGCTACCAGCTGGCCAGGGCTGCCAGGGACTATTAGTGGAAACTCCTTCCCATCTGTGGCATCAGGACAGGCCTTGGCTTCCCTGGCTGCTCCCTGCGCGCCGAGCGAAGCTCGCTCGGCAAGGAGGACCAGGGAGGGAGAAGAGGAGCAGCTCTGGGGTTCTTCTGTCTCATTTCTGCCCTAAGAGGGTGTGGAGATGCAAGGGAGGATTTTCAGGAAAAAAGTATGGAGGAAAAGCTGCAAGAAGCCCTTGCTTCCCTGCGCTCCATCAATGCAGCCCAGAGAGGAGGGAATGTCCTCTGCTATTAAATCGGGATGAAGCGGGCAGTAGCATTGATATGAGCAGTGGGGATGGTATGAGATGCAAAGGCGGTGGGACTGCAGGATGTATATATTCAAGTTCCCTTCTTCTGACCTTGTCTCTGTTGCGTTTTACAGGTCTCCTGCAGGAGAATTTATAAAGTTGTTAAAGACACTTTATTGGGAAAGGCTAGCCATCTATTACACAGCATCTGTTGTTGTTCCTTTGGAAAAGTGTGTTGAATTAGGGGGGCCAGGCACACAGAGCCACACTGGTGGCTTTTCTGCAGAAGCAACCAGCTGGCCAGGGCTGCAGGCCTCTGCTCAAACACCAGAGCTGTTCACAGCTGCATTGAGACACTCAGGCTTTGCAGACATTCAAAGCCAAAAGAGCAGGCTCCCAGAAAGCTCTCTGTATGCTCCTCATCCGCGTGCAGGTTTGCATTTTCCCTGTAGAGTGGTCTCTGCGGTGCACGCGTGGATCGTAGGCTTTCCGTCTTTGCAGGAGCCGAGCAGAGCCCGGGGCGCTCCCTGCTTTCCTGGAGCCACGCGGGCTCGCGTGGCCGTGGCTCAGCTGGAGCTGTGCGGCTTGGCAGCGCTCCAGCGCGGCTGGCAGCGCGTCGCCCACGCCGCTGGGTGCAGCGACCTGCTCCGGGCCACGTTCCGCCTCTGCCGAGAGCGGCGCTTTGCCCACCGCTGCGCTGAGCTCGCGGCTCGCTCTTCGCCTCCTCCCCCCCGGCCGCACC